TTGCCCCACCCCCACCTGTCTCCGCAGCCGCGGCCCCACTAGCACCTCTGGGGGCCCTCCACCCCACCACCCTCTCTGGGCTCAGCCGCGGCTGCTGCTCAGCCTCTCTGTGGGCCCACTGCCCTCCCTTGCTCCGCCCCGGTCTCCCCACTGCAAGTGAAGCCACAGGGTCCCTTGTTCTAACGTGGAGAGGAGCCTCGGGGCAGGGCCAGCAGGACCTTGGCCTGAGCCTGCAGCCTGAGTGTGGCCCGGGGGCCCACATGGGTCCCATGCCTGGGAAGCCCGGGCGTCGGGGGACTCAGGCAGGTGGGCTTGGAGCAGGTGCTCCGGCAGCACAGAGCGGGTACCGGTGCCTTCTTCCTGACATCTGGATGACACCAGAGCTTTCATCTAGAACTTTCTACAAGGATGGAGCAGGATGTGGGCTGGCCCCGAAGACCCAGCAAGGCCCTGCATTGGGCCAAGGTCCAGCGCCCTGCGGGCAGGAGGCTGGAACAGAAGGCCTTCGACGTGGGGCGTGCCTGGGCATGGTGCCATGGGTGGCAGCTGGCGCAGTAGCGCTGTCTCCTGCGTGCTGTGCCAGAGCTGCATGCTGTGGCTTCACCCTAGAGCCCCACCCTGAGGTGGACAGTTCCGGTGACCACAGAAACCAGCCATCCCCTGGTGTCGTCTGCCATGCAGCCCATCTCCTGCGTCCCAGGTCCCCAAATGCCTCTGACGAGTGTCCTGCTTATGGCACAGCTGTGGTGCCTTCCCGATCTCTGAGTTCCCTTTCTTTCTTTTTTTTTGTCTTTTGTTTTTTGAGTTGGAGGCTCACTCTGTCGCCCAGAATGGAGGACAGTGGCCGCTCCCAGCCACCGCAGCCTCGACCTGCTGGGCTCCAGCGATCCTTCCACCTCAGCCTTCCCAGTAGCCGGAATTACAGGCATGTGCTACCACCTCGGCTGATTTTTTGATTTATTGTAGAGATGAGGTCTCGCCAAGTTGCCCGGGCGGGTCTCGAACCCGCGGGCTCAGGCAGTCCACTCACCTTGGCCTCCCAAAGCGCTGGGATGACAGGCTGAGCCACCGAGCCCGGCGAGTTCCCTTTCTTGCAGGGGCAGGGGAGCTTGATTCTTTTCTTCTTTCCATCCTTCCCCACTTCCCTCCCTTCTCTCTCCTTTGGGAACAGCTTTGTTGAAGTATGACCTGCACCCCCTGCAGCTCACCCACCTAAGTGCCCAGCTCCGTGGCTTTTAGCTCAGTCAAGGAGCCACGGTCACCACGGTTGACGTGAGGCATTCTCATCTCCCCACAGAGAAGCCCCTTCGCTGAGGGCACAGCATGTGACCTTGTGTGGCTGGGTCTCAGTGAGCGTGGTGTCCTCAAGATCCACTCATGAGTGGCCTGTGTCGGAGCCTCCTTCCTGCTCACGCCTGAATCGTGTTCTGTGTGTGGATGGGCCACACTGTGTTGATCCATTCATGCCTGATAGATGCTTGCGTGGCGCTCACCTTCGGGGGATGGGAATTGTGCTGCTGTGGACATGGGTGTGCAAGTGCACGTGTGGCTGGATGGTTCCGTTTTCTCGTGGGCATTTGCCCAGGAGTGGAATTGCTGGGTCACACGGTGACCTCCTTTGCCTGTTCTGGGAACCCACCAGCCTGTCTCCCACAGTGCCCATGCCTGCCACACCCCACCAGCTGTGTGCAGAGGGTGTAGATACCATGTTCTGCCCACTCATGATGGGCTGTCTCCCAACTGGCATCCCGGTTGGCATGGGAGTGTCTTCCTGAGTTCTGCTGTGCACGTCCCTGCTGCTGGATGGCGAGGCCATCTTAACTTGCATGAGGGCCTTTTGGATGTCTGCTGTGGAAGGACACCTGGTTGCCCTGGCCGGGGCTGTGTGTCCCACTGGAGTCAAGCCCCACTCTGCCTGTGTCCTGAGTGCATCCCTCTTTCTGGGAGGCTCTCCGGGTGCCTCAGGGGGCTCCGACATGGTCCTGTGTCCTCTGCCCCCAAGTTCCTGGTCACCTAGAAGGTCGGCCCCAGGTGGCTTCCAGTCTAGCCCCTTTCCCACTGTTGAGGTGGTGTCCACGTGGAGGATGATGGAACGTGAAGACTTAGACGTTGTGAGTCTCCTCTTCATACTCGCCTACCAAAAAAAGTCATTTCAAAAGGCACAAATGAGGCAGCAAAACAAAAACAAACCCGCATGGCTGCCCTGTGAGGCCTCTGGGGCGGTGGCAGACTCAGTTCCCTGCATGAGGCTGGGGGCAGAGCTCCCAGGCCCAGTCCTTCTCCACAGCGCACGTGCTGATGTGAGAAATGCTTGTCATCCAATATCGCAGTGGATATGGCCATGTGCTCTCCAGGTGACCCAGGAACCCTGTGAGGTATAGGGAGCCCCCCGCATCTGAGGCCAGATGTCAAGCCCTAGGCCCTGCCCTGCTTGGGCCCCGCTGGCCTCAAGAGGAGACAGCAGGCCGCTGGCTCATAGCATGCGGGGCTGCCCTCCACGACTGGGCCTTTGGACAGGTGGGCCTTGAAGGCCTGGCGGGCAGAGCTGGGCGGGGCAGGGATCAGCTCCCTGCAGGCTCCGCCTTAGGGATTCCTGAGTGCCATGTGCCCTGGTTGAGGGATGCTGGGGCAGGAGGAGGCCTGGAATGGAAGGAGCCAGGAAGGACGAGGGCCGTTGGGTGTGACGGGTCCTGGTACCAAAGGGAGGGGGCTCACGGGGTCTCGGCAGAGCTTGGCTGGGCAGTGGGCCCAGGTGCCCACCCGCCGTGTGGCCTGGACACGTGCCTGCTCCTGTGGACCTCTGTGCCCCCCTCAGTAGGCTGAATTGACAGTTCACCATGTAAATGCACAGGATGGGCCAGGGACCTGCAGGTGCTGACACGGGGACTGCCAGGGCCACCACATCTGGGCACAGCAGACCCAAGGCCCGACCCCTGAGGGACAGGGACCTGGAGGTGACTGTGTACTGCTGTTGGTCCCTCCCGCCCCGCGCACACCTGGCCTGGACAGGCACAGCCACCAGCCCGATTCAGAATGACACACATCCATGTGGTTATCCGGTCTCAGCTATTCCCACCTGCCGGACGTCCCCCAGGATGGTCTTGTCTGTCGCTGTGCCATCCAGCACGCGGGGGCCCTGCATGAATGCTGCGTGACTGTGTCTGGGGGGGGGACCAAGGGGTCCGTGGGGCAGATGGGGTCACTGGTGGGAACTCAGGTGCTGAGCAGGACTGGGTGTCAGGGCAGGCTGGTCCTGGGGACCCTGGGGGTGGGGTCTTTAGCACCTGCTGCTCTGGAGGATGTTGAGACAGCCTTTCCCTGGTCCCACCCATGACTGTCACGGAAGCCATCCTCTGCTCCTGCCTGGAGCTGTCATGCTGTCTGTGGTGCACCCACGGCCTGCGCAGACTCCAGCTTGGAGGCTTTCATGGCTGCCTCGTGGGAGAGGCTACGAGGACTCTGCACAGAACAGGGGTTGGAGTCACAGCGGGGACGGGAGCTCTGAGCTGGGTTTTATTATTATTATTTTTTAGGTGGGATCTCTGTTGCTCAGGCAGGAGTGCCTTGACTTCCTGGGCTCGGGTGATCTTTCCACCTCAGCCCTCTCCCCCAGGAGCTGGGACTAGATAGAGGCTTGTGCCACCGCGGCCACCAAGCTTTTGATTTTGATTTTTTCAACCTAAAAAGTGCATGAAATAATTTTTTTTTGTTTTTTTGTAGAGATGACATCTTGCTATGTTGCCCAGGCTGGCCTCGAACTCCTGGGCTCAAGTGGTTCTACCTTGGCCTCTCGGTAGCTGCACCTGGCCTGAGCTGGGGGTTTTATCAAACCCAGCAGTGGGTCTTTTACCTGCAGCTGTCCCCTGGTCTCAGCCCTGTGTGCCCCAGGTGGGAGGTGGGGTGGACAGAGGCAGGCAGGGAGGAGGCCAGAAGGTCCCTTGGCTTTGCTGCCACCTGACGGTGGTGCCTGGACACAGGTGCGGACTCAGCTGGGGCCTGGAGCCCGGAGCCGGCCTGCATGGATTCCTGGGCACATGCTGCCCTCTAGTGCCTGCTGCAGGGAGCGCTGCATCCTGGGGACGGAACCAAGCCAGGATTGCATGACTTCTGCCTGCCACTCTCATTCCCAACCGCTCAGGGGCGCAGGGTGGGGGTGGGTTTTGCGAGTTTTTCTCTCAGTCTGCGGGTTGTGTACACTGGGTTCTTGTTGTCTTTGTGTTTGGAGAGTTTCCTCTGCTCAGGGGACCTTTCTGTAGCCCTTTCCAGGGTGGGGTTGGCTGTCCCCCCCATCACATGCTCCGGGCCCAGGAGAAGCTCCAGCCTGCAGCCTCCCTGGAGGGGCAGCCTGGTGCCGGCGACCGCAGGCGGGCTAGCGAGGGCCCCGTGTATGAACTCGGCCTGATGGCCTCTTCTGTGCGTGGCCATCGACTTGTAGCCAGCGGTGACTCTGAGCACCCCTGAGGGACACGAGCTGTTCTAGCCAGGTCTTCTGCTCTCCTGGCCCCAGATTCTTGCCCTGCCCTGGGCCTGGATTCTGCTGGCTGCAGCCAGGCCATTCCCTGTGTGATCTCCAGGCTGCCACGTGGAGTTCCCTGCTGGGAGCGTGTGACACTCACACCGGCCTCAGTCACCCAAACACCCGGCAGGTGCCGCTGTCTCCTGTGCTTGTGCCTCCGAGGCAGAGATGTCGACAGAAGTTGACACCAGCGGAGACGGGCCCTGATAAGAGGAGCTTCTGTTTCTGGGACTCTGGTCTAAAACGAGCCCGCTCGCTTCCAGTGTCACCATGGCTCTTAGAACTGGGCCACTCTGCTTTCGGTTAGCGGAGTCGTGTGTCTTTGGTGTCATGCAGAGTCATGGCGCTGCTGATGGCTTCCCTCACCCCAGCTTCGCCGCTAGGGCCCAGCCGCCTCTGTTCCCCCGTGGCCCCAGTGTTTTCTGCATTCTGGGGGGGGGAAGACGCCAGGACTGGGTGTCGGTTCTCACTGCTCTCGTCTCCCTCTGCAGGTGTGGTGCTTGCGCCGCCGCCGCCATGGGGTCTGAGGACCACGGCGCCCAGAACCCCAGTTGTAAGATCATGACGTTCCGCCCCACCATGGAAGAGTTCAAGGATTTCAACAAATACGTGGCCTACATAGAGTCGCAGGGAGCCCACCGGGCGGGCCTGGCCAAGGTGGGTGATATCTTGGGCCCATCGTGGCCCTCCATTGTCGGCTGCACTATGCACCTGCCTGGGTCCGCTCTCGGCTGTCCCTGAAGGCGCTACCTGTGTGACCACGCCGAGCTCATTTCCGGTGCATGTTGGCGTCTTACGACACGCCAGTGCTGTTTTGGGCCCCCGAGTTGAGCTGTGACTCATACTGGGGAGCCGGCAGGCTGGGCAGGGACTTGGAATTCCGCGGCGTGAGGCCCGGGGGCCAGTGGGACACCGGGACATCCTGGGCCTAAGCAGTGTCTCCCAGGGACGCCAGGAGTCCAGGAGGCCTTCCTGGGGGAATCCTTACATTCCAAGAGAAGCAATTTGCGGGGTGGGGATGGTAATGAACAGGACAGGCAACTCCAGCAGTGTGACAGGGCAGGGAGTGAGTGATGCAGGTCTTCTCGGGTAACCCATCTCCCAGCCCCGCCCTGGAAGCAGTACCGATGCAGGTTTCTTCTGTCTCCTAGGCATTTTCTGCATGTGTGTTTGTATGTGTGTGCACATGTGCGTGTGTGCGGACAGATACACACACACCCGCCACTATTCGGCACCAGCAGCATGGCCCATCCGCACATGTCCTGTTCCTGCGGCCTCCTGGGGCTGCGTGTCTCTGCACTGGTGTGGCCTCGCCAGGCACCGTCCGACCATTTGCAGGAAAACTCGGCATATTCTGGGCTCTTCTTGTTGCCTGTCGGCTGCCTGTCGCTGGTTCCTGGTCGCTGGACCAAGGGTCAGCAGAGTACATAGCCCAGGTGGGGGTGCCGTGGCTCTGCGGGCAGACGGCTTGGCCACAGACCACGCAGACGTGAGTGGGCTGGCCGTGTGCCAGAAAAGCTTTATCACAGACCCAGAGTGTGACCTCACGTCGCCACTGTCACTGGTCCTGGATATTCCTCTGCCCTTCTCCCAACCGTTTGAAAACAAGCAGCCGTCCTCAGTTCAGTGACTGTAGGGCAGCAGGCAGTGGCTGGATGTGGCCTTGCTGACCTTGGAGGCCACTTCCGCCCAGGCAGCCTCTCCTCTCCCACGCCTGGTCTTGGCGGATGCTGCTGCTGGCGTCGCCTCTGTCCCGGCGAGCCTCGTGCCTTCTCGTCAGCCCCGTACTGGTCATACCCAATCTCTCAGCCTCAGAAGGTTCAGAAGTAGCCAACACCATCTCCCCCCAGCGTGAGCTCCGTTCTGCACGCCGTGGCCAAGTGGCAGCACACCCCTGTCGGAGGGAGCCAGGGCCCTGCCCTCCCAGCCTCGGCTCACCCGCCCATGGCTCCCACACTCCCGCCGGGTTTGACCCTCTGCTCTGCCTGCTGGGCTGTGGGTTGCCAGCCGGGAATGGCCCTGCGGCCAACTGGGCTTTCCAGGTCAACCCACTGAGTCCTGCTCTCCCGGTGGCCACTGGGAGTGGCTTCCCTCTCTCATTCCCTGCTTTGTCCTGGTAGCCGCCTTCCCTGTCCCCAGGGCACGGCCTTTTCTGTTTTGGACCCACGGTGTCCCTCATTCAGGAAGGTGGTAGCGGATGAAGGCTGAGACCGCCCTGTTCTCTCCCAGGGCACCTGGAGCATCCACTCTGTCCCTCTTCCGTCCTTGACCACCTGCAGCCTCCTCTGCCCTGTGTGTCCAGTGTGTTCTGTCCCCTGCAGTGGCCTCGGACCGCCGTGTCCCCAGTGGCCTCCTCCCTCCCAGTCCCTCCCCCACCCCTCCCCTGCTTTCCTTGGAGCCCGAGGCCTCTGCTGGGGCCATGAGTGCCCGGGACCCGTCTCCCTGGCTTGCTTAAGTGGCAGAAACCTCCTGGCCCGGGCACTCCTGTGAGGTGTAGTCACAGTCCGTCGTCCCTCTGCCCTTGTGGCTGCCCCTCTCCACTCCTCTTTGGCGGCATCTGGAGTGCCACCGTCTCTTTGACCGAGACCCCTCAGGGGCTGGCGGGAGGGGGCCTGGGGCCATGTGCGCGGCGCACTCTCAGGAGTGCAGTCGGCGGCGGCATCACATTGGCGCCCACGTGCAGCACCCGCAGCCCCTCCTGTCTCCCGCAGCTCTGTGGGGACAGCTGGGCTCGGGGAAGCATCTGCTCTGGCCCCGGGTGCCCCCGTGTCTTCCAAATGGGGTCTGGCTCTGGGCCGTGGCCTCTTGGGGAAGAAGCACGGTGCCTGCTGGTTCTGGGTGGGCCATGGCAGCGAGGGGGTCCCCTCACTCTGGCCTCCCGGCCTCCCCCACCCATGTGTGTGTGCATGCATATGTGCTTGTAGGCGGCTGGGGGTTTCCTCATTGAAGCTGTATCCCCAGGAGCTGCCGGGCCCGCTGGAGCTGGGATGGGGATAGGGCCTGGGCACTAGCGATGCTGGGCGTGGGGCCTTGGAAGCGCAGGGGTGAGAGGAGCCCTGGAGGCCCGCTGGGGTTCTGTTCGGGGGTGAGTGCGTCCCCAGCAGGCACTGGCAGGATGGGCCTGGGGCCTCCCCTTTGCTGCTGCCAGAATCGCTGCCTTCTGCAGCATGTGACCTGTCGCCTGCAGGCTGTGGCCAGAGCCTGCCCGGCGGGGAAGGCTTGCTAGGACACTGGATCCAGGGGGCTCTGAGCCCCTCAGGTGATCCCTCTGCATGGCCTGTGCCCTGAGACTCCGCCCGATCCCACCTTGGCAGGGCGTGGGGTTCTGGGCCACAAGGGTCACTCCGCCCTGAGCATTTCCCCGGTGGCTGTGGCTGGCACCAGCAGGATGTGGCCCTCCCTCGCGGCCTGTGTAGGATATGTCATGTCAAGTGTGACTTGCGCGTACACTCACGCCCTGGGTGGCTCCCAGCTGTCTTTACTCTGGGGGTGCCACCACGGGGTGCCACTGAGCAGGCGGCCCGGCCTCTCCTCAAGGAGGAAGGGTTGGGCGCAGAGCGGACAGTGGGTGTGAGACCTCTGGCAGATGTCGGGGCGAGTCCGTGACTTCTGGCCAGCACCTCTGGCGTGGGCTTGGTGGGGGTCCAAGTCCATGGAGCCCTCTGGCAGAAGGCACGCGGACTTTGTGCAGAGGCGGCGTCACATATGGCTCAGAGCAGTAGGCCAGGGAGCCTGTCGTCATGGCTGACTCTGCAGGGCCCTCGCGTGCCTGGCATGGGCCCTTCGTCCTGACGCACTCCTGCTTTCCCGTCTGGAGTTTTTCAGTGCTCACCACCCCTCACTGCCCCACGTGGCTGGACCAGAGACGGCCCGACGCCTGTTGCATTGCAGCTGCGGTTGACGCAGAGCCAGCTCTTGAGGGGACGGCCATGTCTCCTGGGAGGCGGCTCACCCCATTGTCCTCTGAGTTGGGGCCCCCCAGCCCTGCGGACATCAGAGCCAGGGTGTTCCTGGTGGGCCATCCTGGCTACTGCAGGGGGAGAACAGCATCCCTGGCCTCCACCCACCCCATGCCAGGAGCACCCCATGGTGGTGACAACCACAGATGTCCCAGACATCACCCAGTGTGCCCTGGGAGCTGGGACCCCCCAGCTGAGAACTGCTCGCTTGTGGCTGCTGTCTGGTCAGTGAGCCCGCGTGGAGCAACAGAGACTGTGCCTCTGCTGTGAACGGGCAGCTGGGGTGCGAGCCTCTTGTTGCCAGTCAGTGGGTTTCTCCATGGGTGTGGCAAGTGGCGTCTGGCTACCCGGGAGCTGCTGGCCAATGTGGTGTCTACACCCTCGGGACCCCAGGGGCCTGATGTGAGGGAGGGGCGGGGCAGCCTCCCAGAACTCCTGAGAGCCAAAGCCGTGGACTCAGTGTCTCGCACACGGTCGGGCAGTCCAGGCAGCCTTCTGGAAGGGGTCTTTTCTCCAGACTGGGTGTGACAGCCCCAGAGCCGTGCCCGGGAGGCCTGCGATGTCTGCTGGGGCTGTTGCCCAGAGGCTCACCCCGGCCGGAGGAGAGAAGACGCGGGGGTGCGGAGGCTGGAGCCAAGAAGTGCGCCCTGGGCGGCCTCGGTCCTTCCCTCCCGCGTAGGTGAAGGTGCAGCCCCCGCAGGGCGAGCGACTCCGAGTTCCGCGCTGGTTCTGCCTGTGGCCGCCAGCCCCCTCCCCCTCTGCTCCGTGTGTCCTGGTGTCCGAGCTGGCCTGGGTCTTGCGGGGGGTGCTGCAACACTGGCCACGTGCCCGGGGGCCTAGGCCGGTCCTGCCCCCCCTGGTGGATGCACGTGAGTGTGCTGCTGAACTGCTCTGGGCCTTGGCTTTCTCAGCTGTCCGTGGGAGCAGGGATGCTTCTCCTGCTCAAGGTCCTCTTGGGGAGTGGACACATCAGCCCCCGCACGCCCAGCACAGTCCCAGCTTGGCTGGGGCTCTTGTCGCCTGCGGCCACGCAGTCCCAGCCCTGCCATCCGGCGTGTCGTCGTTGCTCCCCTCAGCCCCGCTTTGGGCCTCTCAGCAGCCCCTCCTCTTCCACCTGCGTACTTGTGGTTCCATGTCTTTTTTTTGTGTGTGTGAGTCGGAGTCTCACTCTGTCGCCCAGACTGGAGGGCAGTGGCCGCTCCCGGCCACCTCAGCCTCGACCCGCTGGGCTCCTGCGATCCTTCCGCCTTAGCCTTCCGGGTACCTGGAACTACAGGCGTGCGCTACCACACCCGGCTAGTTTTTGATTTATTGTAGAGATGAGGTCTCGCCAAGTTGCCCAGGCGGGTCTCGAACCCGCGGGCTCAGGCAGGCCACTCACTTCGGCCTCCCAAAGGCGTGGAATAACAGGCTGAGCCACCGAGCCTGGCTGTGGTTCCATACCTTGCTGCGGGCTTCCTTGTCTCAGGAGGACTGGCCATCGGCCTCTCCGGGTGGTGCGTGCATCCACTAGGGCGTGTTGCCTCTGATGTTTCTGGCACCCAGACCTGAGTGTCCCACATGGGTCTCAGTCAGGCGAGGCCCTGGAACAAGTGTGCTTGGTGTTCACCCCACTCTGTGAGTCCCTGGTGGCCCGTGGTGGCTGGTGGGTACAGTTCTGTCCGCTGCTGCTAGGGGGTGCAGCAGCCTGAGCACCTGTGACCCAGTTTGGTGACTCTGCTTTTCAGAAGGCCCCCAGAGTGCGAGTCCAGAGTCCTGGCCAGGCCTCACCTGGGTTTGCTCAGGGGCGTCGTGCAGATGCACGTCAGGTTGACGCCTGACTCTCAGGTTGGGCCCAGCTTCCCTGGTTCCGGGGCCCCCTCAGAGTCAGCGCCAGGGTCTCCCGGGGATCTGGGGAAGCACAGGGAGGAACTCCTGGCCTGCGATTGCGGAGGGCAGATTTGGGGTGGCCCCGGGAGCGGGGTGCTCCGCTCGGCTCATGGAGGGCATGACTGACCCGCTCTCGGTCTCGCAGATCATTCCCCCGAAGGAGTGGAAGCCTCGGCAGACGTATGACGACATCGACGATGTGGTGATCCCGGCACCCATCCAGCAGGTGGTCACGGGGCAGTCGGGCCTGTTCACGCAGTACAACATCCAGAAGAAGGCCATGACAGTGGGGGAGTACCGCCGCCTGGCCAACAGTGAGAAGTATGCAGCGTGGCTCTGGGCAGACGGGCCCTGGGGCGGAGGCAGGCCACACACGCGGCCCCTGAGCTCTGATGGGTCCAGCCCGACCCGGGCCCCACACCTGCCGCTCGGCTGTACGCCGGCCCTCGGCCTGTCCCTGACTAGGAGCATGTCTTGTGCCCTCTGCGACAGAGCGGCACCATGCCGCTTCCTGGCTCCACACGGGCACATGCATGGGTGCACATGGGAGCACACGTGGCACACGTGTGTACTTGCATGATTTGTGAGTGCCGATTCCTGGTTCTGCATGGGCACGTGCAGGCACGTACAAGAGTGCGTGTGGGAGCACACAGGGACATGCATGGGCACACATGGGCACAGGCACACACGTGTTTGCGTGCTCACACGTGCTGATTCCTGGTTCACATGGGCATGCACAGGTGCACATGTGGACACACACATAAGGGTGTTTGTGGGAACACAGGGACATGTGTGCGTACACGGGCACGGGCAGAGGCACATGTGTGCACTTGTATGTTTACAAGTGCTGCTCTCTGTTCCACAAGACACAGGCCTCACACCCCCATCCCATGTTCCCTCCCGCCCTGCGGACCCCGCTGTCTCCTCTGAGAGCCAGCCCCCTCTTGCCTCCGGCCTGTGAGTGTCTATGGGGGCGGGGCTGGCCAGGCCTGCCTGCCTGGCTCCCCACCCACCAGCACTTCATCTGCCACCGATGCTCTTGGTCTTGGCAGAGCAGGGGTGATGAGAGCCACCCGGGCCCCTGCCCAGCCGCCCCGGGTGTCCTAACTTGAGTTCCCGGGCTCGGAACACACGGGGTGGGTCACACTCGCGGCGGACCACATGGCCATGTCGCATGACCCAGGCAGGGCTGGAGGGTGGTCTGAGCTGGCTCTGGGATCTGTCCCCAGGTACTGTACCCCGCGGCACCAGGACTTCGACGACCTGGAGCGCAAGTACTGGAAGAACCTCACCTTTGTGTCCCCCATCTACGGGGCCGACATCAGCGGCTCCCTGTACGACGATGTGAGTACAGGCCGCGAGGCTTCCGGACACCGAGGGCAGGCCCGGGCATGGTGCTGTCTCGAGGGTGGAGGCGGGAGAAAGGTCGCCTGAGCTCGTGTCCAGCCCCGGTCACAGCCAAGTCCCAAACGAGTTGCAGAGGGATATGGCTTCTCTGATGTGCAGGCCTCTCCATCACTCACATATTATCAAGACCGTGGGCTTCTCAAGTCCCTGTCGCTGTGACTTTCTGGAGCCTGGGGAGCCCTGCGTCTCAGCCAGGCTGGGCTGCCTGCCAGGTTCAAGTCCAGTCTAGTCCCTGCTTGGCTGGGCCTGGCCTCGCGGGAACTCCTCCTCCTCCCTGCTGGACGCTCAGAAGCGGGACCTGTGGGGCAACGTTTCCAGAAGGTTCTGAGAAGGTGTGACCACAGCTGCATGCTCTGCTCTGCTTCTCAGAGCCCTTTCAGCCCATGGCACAGGCCTTGTGGCGAGAGGGCCACCGTCTGTGGGGCATGGGTGGGTTTGCTCCACTGAGTGCGGTGCCAAGGGAGATGGTGCAGGCCCAAGGCCTGGAGAGCCTGAGGGAGGCACCCTGACCCAGAGCCGGGAGAGCTGATTCTGCTAGGCTCCCTCTCCGTCGGATCCAGGACCCCCTGCCCTCAGCTCCACCTGGAGGTCACTCGGGCAGGAAGCCCATGGCACCATGACCCCAGTGCCTGAACCCCCAGTGTGCCATCTGAAGTGGGGCTCTCTCCCCCTGAACCTGGAACAGTGGCCTGTGCCCTCTGATCTGCCTCCAAGAGGGAGGCTTCCTAGTGACATTGACAGGAAGCACTTGACTTCTGGAAGCCCTGGAGCCCGTCTGGTCTCTGAGGACACGGCAGCATCATTGCCTCAGGCCTCTGCTGCGAGGCCCAGGGCTTCTCTGTGCAGGACTGGTTTGGCATGGGCCATGTGGGCAGGGTGGGCAGCCTCTGTTCTTCAGCCTGTTTCATATGGGATGTGTAACGCTCACGGCACTGGGGTGATCTGCTCTCTTCAGGGGGCACTGGGGCTGTCACCTGGGAAATGTGCCCATAGTCATGCCCTCTGTCCAGCCTGGAGCTGGGCTGAGTCCAGGCCATCTGGCAGCGGTGTCAGTTCTCTGTGCCCTGTGACCCTGGTCAACTGCCATCCCAGGCTTAGCCATGGTTTGCACGCGTGCCCTGATGCTCTGGGTCTGTGTAGCTGGACCTCCTGCCAGCTGGCACTTGGGTTACAGCTCTGTTTCTGAGTCTTGACTTCACCCTGGGAAAGGCGTCCAGTCCTAGCAACCGATGGAGCTGCAAAGTTCAAGCTCACGAAGCTGTCCAGGCAAGGGGTCAGAGGCCTGGCTATCAAATGGTCAGTTGTTTTCCACATAGCATTTCAGGACGTTGGAGCTAGGTGGGGTCTTTTGTTTTCTAGTTATTTGTCTCTTTTTAAATAGCCTTAGTGAGACTCACACACCATGTAATTCACCCATTTAAAGTGGACAATTCAGTGGCTTTTAGCACATTCACAGAGTTCTGCACCAATCACCACTAATTTCAGAACATTCCATCACCCTGAAAGAAACCCTGTCCCCATCAGCAGTCACTCCCTGTCTTCCCTCTTGGCCCGACACCCACAGTTCCACATCCTGTCTCTGAATCGCCCGTTCTGGACATTTCACGTGTGTGGAATCCCACCTCACGTCCTTTTGTGTCTGGGTCTCTCGCGGAGCGTGCTGTCCTCAGGGCTCGTCCACACTGTGGCCCATGTCAGAGCCGCCTCCTTTGTTGTGGCTGAGTCACGAACCACGTGTGGACATTCAGGTTGAGCGTCCCTTATCGGAGATGCTTGAGTGTTCAGGATTTGGGATCTGTTTGGGCTTTGAGATATTTGCATGAACATAACAAGGTATCTGGGGGGGATGGAACCCACGTCTAAACATGAAACTCATCTGTGTTTATATGCATCTCATACACAGAAGCTGGAGGTGGTTTCACCCATAGTCTAAATAATTTTGCTCGGAAACAAAGTTTTCACTGCAACTCCTACGTGAGATCAGGCGTGGGTGCTGCTGTGGCATCATGTCTGTCCTCAGGAAGTTGTGGGTTTTGGAGCATTTGGGGCTGGGACTGCTTGGCTGGTACCTGGCTGTGTTCACCCATCGTCCGTTGGTGGACGCATAGCTTGTTCCTGCCTTTTGGCTGTTACAGATCATGCTGCTGGGAACATTCACATAAACGTTTTTTGTGGACGTATGTGTTCTTTTCTCCTGGGTAGATCCCTGAGACTGGATTGTGGGGCCAGGGGGCAACTTTGTTTAACTTTTGTGTATGTGTTGGGATCTCACTCTGACACCCAAGCCGGAGTGCAGAGACATGATCATAGCCACTACAGCCTCGACCTCCTGGGCTGAGGTGATCCTTCTGCCTCAGCCTCCTGAGTGGTGGGACTACAGGTATGTACTGTCATGCTTGGCTAATTTTTTGATTTTTTTGTAGTGACAAGGTCTTGCTGTGTGGCCCAGGCTGGTTTCAAAGTCCTGGTCTCAAATAGTCCTCCACCTCGTCCTCCCAAAGGGCTGGGATTATAGGCATGAGCTACCACGCTTGGCCTCTGTAACCTTTTTTTTTTTTTTGAGTTGGAGTCTCACTCCGTTGCCCAGACTAGAGTGCAGTGGCACACTCACGGCCACCCCAGCATCAACCTGCTGGACTCTGATGATCCTTCTACCTCAGCCTTCCAAGTAGCTGGAACTACAGGCGTACGCTATCATGCCTGGCTAATTTTTTTTTTATTTATTGTAGAGACGAGGTCTCGCCAAGTTGTCTGGGTGGGTCTCGAACCCACGGGCTCAGGCAGTCCACTCGCCTCGGCCTCCCAAAGTGTTGGGACTACAGATTGAACCACCAAGCCAGCAGCCTGTGTAACTTTTTAAGAAACTGACAGTCTATTACTCCCACAGCAGCTGTGCCATGTTCTGCCCTGACTTAGAGCACAATGGCTTCGGTATCTTCACATCTCATGACACTGTCCTTCTTCCTGGTTCTGGCGTCCCAGTCGGTGTACAGGGGTGTCTCATAGCGGTGGTGACCTGTGTAGCCCTGCAGCTGGTGACGGCGAGCACCTTCTCACGTGCCTCCTGGCCTTGTTAGATTTTCTTTAGAAACATGTTTAGAGCCTCTGTCCACATGTATGTGAGACTATCTGGCCTTTTAGTATTGAGCTGTGGGTATTCTTGGCATACTCAGGATACAGGTTTCCTACCTTACACGTGACTCATAGATCCCCTCTCCTTTTCTCCATCCTTGGGGCTGGCGTTTCGCTTTCTTGGTGGTGTTTGGGGTGTCTTTTGTGGCCTGTGTTTTTGCCGTCAGATCTAGAATCCATTGCCCGTGCCAAGGTCATGGAGGTTCTCCCTGAGTGACAGCCCAGGCTCCAGGTCTTGGTCCATGTTTTGTGTGGTGTGAGATTGGGACCAGGTTTCCTCTTTGTGTGTGACATGCAGTCCCAGCACCACTCGGTGGGAAATGGCTCTTCCCACGGAATGATCTGGATGCCCAGTGGATCCTGCGTTCTTGGCTATTTTTTAAAAATAGACATTTCAGAGCTGCTTGAGAATCACAACAGAATTGCGCCAAAGGCTGAGTTCCCGTGCTCCTGTTCCTGCACAAGGCCTCCCCTGCACAGGCCTCCTTCCCACGTGGCCTCCACCCTCGGCCTGCCCTGCAGAGGGTGTGTTTGTCACAACCGATGCGCCTCCATGGACACATCGTCCTCACCCAGAGTCCATCGTTCACAAGAGGGTCCCACTTGTGGTTGTGTGCTCTGTGGGTCTGGACAAATGTGTGATGACACGAGTCCATCATGATGGTGTCACACAGCTCGTCTCCCTGCCCCACATCCCCTGAGTGCCGCCTGTCCCCACCCTCTCAGCCCCGCCGCTACTGGGCTTCCTGTCTCCCTGGCTTATCCTCTCCCTCTGTCCTGTGGTTGGAGCCAGAATGTGGCTTCGTCCCTTACTTGCATGTGTGTAAGGTGCCCATGTCTTCTCCCGGCCTGAGAGTGCGACTCTTCTGGGCCTTGCGGTCCCATTATCAGGACGTGCCACGATTTGCTTGTCCCCTCACTCCTGAGGGACGTTGGGGCTGCCCCGGGGCCGGGTGGTGTGGACACGCGCCTTCAGCCCCTTGGGGAGACACCGAGGAGGGCAGTTGCTGGGACACGCGGGGAGCACTGCGCTTCAAGCGACACCACCACACCGGCTTCCGGCATGGCTGCGCCGTTTGTGCTCTGGCAGTGATGCGTGGGCGCTCCTGCCACCCCCTCCTCACCAGCGTGCGTGGTTGTTGGGTTCCGTGGTTCACCCACCATGTGGTGTATCAGTGTTACGCTGTGGTTTTGATGTGCATCTCCTGACAACACGCACGCAGCGTTTATCCGCAAGCTCATTTGCTGCCTGTGTTGTCTTAGTGAGGTCTGGCCAGACCTTCTCTTGTTTTTATTTTATTTATGTGTTTGTTTATTTTGAGTCAGCGTCTTGCTCTGTCTCCCAGGCTGCAGTGCGTTGGTGCTCCCGGCCACCGCAGCCTTGACCCATTAGACTCAGGCAATCCTTCAGCCTCAGCCTTCCAAGTAGCTGGAACCACAGATGTGCACCACCACACCAGGCTAGTGTTTTGATTTATTGTAGAAATGAGGTCTCGCCAAGTTGCCCAGGCTGATCTCAAACTCCTCCTGGACTCAAGCAGTCTTCCAGCCTTGGCCTCCCAAAGTGCTGGGACTACAGGTGTGAGCCACCACGCCCAGCCTTCTCCCATCTTTGTACCACATTGTCTGTTTTCTTATCGTTGTGTTTTGGGAGCTCTTGGTGATACTGGGCACCTCTCCTCCATCAGCTGTGTCCTGCCCATGGTTTTCTTTGGGGCTCGTCTCCCTGTTCTCTTAAGGCTCCTGCACTGTTGTCTTTAAACACAACTCAGAGCCTCGTCCAGGGAGAGCCTCAGCCTCCTCCCATGGGCTGCCTCTGTCTTCACTGCAGCCTCTCCAGGGTACCTGCGACCACATGTGGGTGCTGAGGGGCCCAGACCAGTGACTGCACCCACCCAGACCTGGAGGGCTCAGGGCTCCCAGGCCACGTGTTTGCAGTATCTGACCCAGCGCAGAATCTCCCTGTACAAATGGGGAAACTGAGGCCCAGAGCAGAGAACCGACTTGCGCCGGGTAAATTATGCCGGCCCCCGCCTCAGCCTGCTCTGCTACACAGTGGGTGTGTCGTGTGGGCGGTGAGGCGGGTCAGCTGCCCGAGGGGACCTTGGGCTCCTTGTCCTTGAAATGAGGATCTTGGCCAGGCTTAGTGGCTCAGCCTATAATCCCAGCACTTTGGGAGGCTGAGGTGAGTGGATTGCCTGAGCCCGCGGGTTTGAGACCCGCCTGGGCAACTTGGCGAGACCTCGTCTCTACAGTAAGTAAAAAATTAGCCAGATGTGGTAGTGTGTGGCTGTAGTTCCGGCTCCTTGGAAGATTGAGGCGGAAGGATCGCTGGAGCCCAGTGGGTCGACGCTGGGGTGGTGGTGAGCGTGTCACTGCACTTCAGCCTGGGCGATGAAGTGAGACTCCAACTCAAAAAAAATAAAAAAGAAATGAGGATTTGTCGTTGCCCCCTCTGCTCTGACTCCTGCAAGGGCCCACTTGCAAAGGATCTGCTGGTCCCACCAAGTCCCCAGACTGGTCTTTGTGGCAGGAATGGCAGTGGGTGGATTCGGGGCATGGAGAAGCCCAAGTTCACGAGCATGCGAGTCCTCTCAGCCCCTCACAGGTTCCGAGTACCTCCAGGACTGAGGTCGACAAGTGTGTTTTATGGGCTCGGAAGGCAAGAGGGGCGCTCTTGCTGGTGGTACTGAAAACGGATGAGCCTGGGGAAGCTCCCTGGTGGCCTGGTTCTGAAGCCACTGGGAGCTGCCGGAAGGGCTGGCATTGAGCCTCGCCCTAGCCCCGTCGCTGGGTTAGCCCCACTCAGTGCCTGACTTAGAGGCACGGGCATTATCACAGCCAAACTGCAGACTTCACAACAAGACCCCTACCCTGCACGGTCAGCGCATGGCTTAGCGTCCCCCAGCAGGCTTCTGCCCACCTGGCTTGCACTGGCATGTGGGGGGGGCCCTTCCTCGTCCTGGAGAGCTGGGCTGGCAGTGACCCTTCAGAGGAGTCTGGGCCGGGAGCAGAGGCTCATGCCTGTCATCCCAGTGCGTCGGGAGGCCAGAGGCAGGAAGACCTCTCAAGCCCACGAGTTGTAGGCTGTGGTGAGCTATGACTGAGCCGTTGCATTCCAGCCTGGGCAACAGCGCCAGGCCCATCTCAGAAAAAGAAAGACGGGGCCTGCAGGGTATGGCCAGCCCTGGCAGGCCTGGCACCGGGGTGGCCTGGGCCGGGACTGGGTGGGCTCTGTGGTGCCTGGGGGCCTCTGCGGAGGGTCACGGGGTGGGGGCGGGTGCCCACGCTAGTCTGCCCCCGCAGGACGTGGCCCAGTGGAACATCGGGAGCCTGCGGACCATCCTGGACATGGTGGAGCGCGAGTGCGGCACCATCATCGAGGGCGTGAACACGCCCTACCTGTACTTCGGCATGTGGAAGACCACCTTCGCCTGGCACACAGAGGACATGGACCTCTACAGCATCAACTACCTGCACTTCGGGGAGCCCAAGTCCTGGTGAGTGTCACAGTGCCGGTGGGTGTGGCTGTCTCATGCGCGTCTGCCCCTGCCGGGGGGCTCAGCCGTGCAGGCCAGAGCCACTTGGGGTTCACCTCCAAGCTTCCTGGTCCCCGAGCTGTGGCCTGCACTGGGGTTTCTACGGCTGAGCCTTCCTGGGCGCTGGGTGTCGCCGTGGCCCTGCATGGCTCTACCTGTGCCATCCTCATCTGTGGCGGCTATTGCCGTGGGTGTTCCCTACCAGGCAGGGGGTCTCCAGGCTCAGGCATGGTTAGCAGCAGGCCCCCGCCTGGAGGGTCTGGCCGGGTGGTGCTGGCTGGAAGGCTGCACTGGAGAGTGGTGGACCCCGCAGGGTCGTCGCAGGCGTTGGGAGGACCCTGTGGCTTGTTCCCGCCTTGAAGGGCCACCCTGCTGGGTGCTGCCTTCGTGTCGCAGCAGCCGTGAATCATCCTGCTGTAGCAGCAGTGCCTGCACCGGAGCTCAGCCTCTCCCAGCCGCCTGGGGTTCTGTTGCCACGTGGCCGCTGCTGGGGGCGTCCCTCACTTGGCATGTGGCGTCAGGGACATGCTGAGGCCTTGGCCACAGTGCCCCACCTTGGTGAGAGCTCATGCCAGGCATGGAGCGCCCCATGTAACCCTGCGGCAGCACGGGCTCGGGAGGAGCCCCCACCCATGCTCACCCACGCACAGAGCAGCCTGTGAGCACCCAGGAGAAGTGTGAGTGCCTGGGAGGAGGGTCCTGGGCCCTTGAGCGAGGAGTGTGAGTGTGGGAGGGGAGAGGGGCGAGCACTGGGAAGGAGGAAGTCTCACCCCCTGGTTCAGACCACTCAGCACCCACCCCACACGCATCCTAAAGTCGGGGTGGGCCTGGGGCTCAAACCCAGGACTCTGCCTCTCCCTGGTGTCCCAGCCTCCCTGCGCCCTGCACGCATGACCACCCCCTTGCCCGCCGTGCGCCGTGTGGATCTGGGGACTGAGCCTGGAGGGGTAAGAGGAGCTGGGGTGCTCTGTGGGAGGCTGGGAGCTGCTGTCTGGAGCCGGGTCCACCGTGGCCTCTGGCAGTGGCCCTTCGGTTCTACTTCCAGCCCACGTCTTCAGACCCCCCGGCCCTGGCCAAGGCCTGCCCACGTTCCTCCCGTGGGGCGCTCAGGCTGTCCTCGTGGCTTCTCAGGTGATCTGGAAGGGGGCGGCCAAACGCCTGCACCCTGTCATCTTAAGCCTTGGCTACGGTCCCAGTCTCGTTCTTAGGGTGACCCCCCAGGAAGCACCCTGGCCTGCAGAGCCCGGCCTGGAGGCAGCAGGGATGAGGAAGGACACAGCCCATGATCCGGGCACTGTGTGCACCATGAGCCGTGGAGGGCTGAGTCCGGCCTGGCACCCCGGGGAAAGGGCACCCAGCTTGCGGGTGACAACACCAGGAGCTTCTGGGCCTCTCCGCAGCTC